GTATTATATTATACTGGCATGTTATGAATCAGTTCTAGTATAGTTCTTGTGCAATTCATCAAATATTTTATTAATTTTATATTATAATTATAGAAGAAAGATAGAATTTTATGTTATTTTATCATTTATCCACCCGGGTCATGATTTTTCAGATGGGTCCAACCACTAATTACGTTAATCTGAAATCAAATTTTCGTAATCTTTGTTCCATGCACCTTCCTCTGTTCTATGCAATAAATGTCCCAATACACAAGCTTTTTTCCCTTCAAATGCAATTCCTATTTCCAAAAGTTTTTTGACATTTTCTTCTAGGCCTACTCGATACTGCTTCTCTTCGATTTGAAGTAATCCTTCTTGAGCCATATCGTGTAAACTTTTTTTATCATAAACAACTTTAAATTCAATGATAATAGCCGTCTCATTAACACCTGGTTTTGGAACTATTTTTACATCATATCTTTCAAAACCAGCCTCACGATTAGAATGAACAATAAACCCTCGATCACGCATTAGCGAACACTCCTAAACAAAAGGTATGATAAACATATTCTGCATTTTTTCCAGAATCAGACCCCCTGACATCATAAAACGAAAGTGTATCTACAATCATATTTTCAAATTCTTTACTAAATAAATCAAGTTTTCCATGTAAAAGATTGTCTAACATTGATGTGATAGTTTGCCCTTGAGTAAAAAATGGTACATTGATCACCCAATTATGCCATTCTGACGGAATTCATAGTAAGGTATCCTGCATAGTAAAGAAGTGTCCAAATAGCCAAATCTTGACATTTATCCAAATGTAAATATTGAAGGTCATCCTGAATCTTAGTATTAGTTATACCTTCCCTTTTTAATAACTTTTCAACGGATTCCTTAAATGAACAACTTGCTCTCCATAGATATTTTTCTAATGTTTGAGTACTTCCCGTATCTGTCCAATATGCGCATAAGATACCACGTGAAAGCAGACGAATAATAGACCACGGATTATATAAATGGGTACTCCCTCCTGAGATGTAGCCATCATACCACTTTTGAACGTCATTAATTTGCAAATTTTTACGCAGTGACAATAATAATTCTACCTCATCGGACGTGAATCCAAACTTATCTACATAAAGAGGAGATAAATTTTCTTGATGGAAAGGATATATCGTAATATTATTTAGGACAAAAACCCTGATTTTGCAATTCGTAATACACCAACCAACATAGCTTTTGCTACATTTTCATCATTGCTCTAACATTTAATTAGAAATAGATATGAATTTTTGGATTAGACTATAATAAAAATTACAAATATGTCTTACCTTCAATAATGATGAGAACATGCCTTTAAAAAATTCATTTGCAACTTCATAATATCCTTTATTATAGGCACATTCCATTGGAGAATCGTATTCATCAATCAATACAATACATTGTTTTTTATAGTGTTGTCGCAAATACATGGAAAGTTGCCGCAAGGCAAATGACAATTGTGGTACAGTTGATTCTTCGTTGAGAAAATTTTGATATTTCTTTTGTTGATCAGAATATAAGTTGTTAATAAGGTAGCGATGTTCACTATAAATTTCAGCTATAAGTATTCTTAATTTTTCTTTCATTTCATCCCATGTTCCAGCGTTTAAATCCTATTTGTGATATACTGTGAGTAAAAATGAATAAAAAATCGTAATAAATAAAATTTAACAGTGTTCATACCTTAAGAGAGATATGAATGATAGGATATTGCGCAAAATGTTTTTGCATAATTTCTTTTTCAGTTGAAATTTTCAGTTTTTCAAAAAGTTGACTGCAGTTAACATTTTCTTCTTGGGTATATGGTATCTTAAAAAAGCGATTTAGCATGGATAAATTTGTTGACTTGCCAAATCGACGAGGACGAAGAATAAGTGATACAAAATCCGAACTCTCAATAAACTCTTTTATGAGCATTGATTTATCAACAAAAGTGAGACGGTCTCTTATAATAGTTTCAAAGTGATCTTTTCCAACCGCAACACTTGCACCAAAAACAACTCTGGCATTATTGCCTATATATTTAAAAAAAATTTAATGCGTGAAGTACAAGACTAAAATCACCAGATAAAAAAAAATATTTACGATTCTTGGTATAAGGCTTAAAATTGGAACCTAACATGACAACTCCTTGATCCTCCTCCATAAGCATGATTAAAAATCCATTTGATTGGCTAAAAATTGATCTTCGTCAAATTAAAATTTAAAATTTGATTGGCTCATATCGAAAATATAACATCCTTCCGGCATAGATTTACACATTCATAAAAATTATATTTAAAAGTT